AGTTCACGCCTGGGTTTTATGTCAGTGATCTGATCCCTTCCACCGTTCTCGGGTCCCCAACCCATGAAACACAGGTGTGGCCTTGTTACTAATCGCGCTTGAACACAAATCCTAGTGATCCCGGAGACACTCACAGACTTATATAAAGTTCACTTCCTACCCACCTGGCCTAGAGGGCGGTGTACATATTCGCTCACTATGGTTGCTCCGTGCCTCGCGAGCTTTCTGACCTCCTCGTCCCCATATGTATCGATCATCGCGTCTTGGCGCCAGCGTGATATTCCTTTGATAATTGGCCTTGGTGTATCGGCACGCAAGTGATATACTGTTCCGCTCCTACGGCAGGAATGACTAGAGAACTTCAGGAACTGCATAAGGTCCACCTCGCCAATAGAGTTCGGTAGAAACTGGGCCAAGCTTTTAACCTCCGCCGTAAACTTCTTATAGATTTTGTGGAAGATTCTAAGTGGCCTGGCCGTCGCGTCTCGGAGGGCGATCATAGTGTGGCAGCAGCACCATTTCCCCCTTCGTTCTCACACATCCTTCGAAGCATCACACGAGGTCTCCACGTACTCAATCTTGTTGACTTTGGTGATACCGAGATGTATTCTAATACGAGTTCCAGGGACCCCAGGTAGTATCTCAGTGATATCCTGGCTTCTTATGCGCAGCAACTCGCCGGACCTTAGGCTCAGTGATATCCCGCTGAGGAAAGCTGATCGTACAAGGCCTTTCTCTGGTTTACCCTCGAACTGGGATTCCGGACAGTCAAATAGGAACTTAACTGCACTCTCGGGCATAATGGCAGCGCGCTTGGCATCCCGCTGGGGCCTTATGCGTGAAACGGCTTGCATAGCTTGCTTAATCAGCGCTTCATCCGCGACATCCATGGTGCTAACTTGTCTAGAGTGGAACATGTGCCATGCGTCTAACTTGCCTAGAGTGGAACATGTGCCATGCGTCTAACTCCCGTCTTGAGTGGAACATGTGCCATGCGTCTAACTCGCCTAGAGTGGAACATGTGACATGAGTCTAACTTGTCTAGAGTGGAACATGTGCCATGCGTCTAACTTGCCTAGAGTGGAACATGTGCCATGTGTCTGACTTGCCTAGAGTGGAACATGTGCCATGCGTCTAACTCCCGTCTTGAGTGGAACATGTGCCAAGCGTGTGGAAGTGTGTTTAAGTCGTAGTTACGTTGTCGGTAGTTCTGAGCGTTGACGTTGTCGTGGTTGTAACAACTGGGCGAACCCACTACTAAAGAACACTCTTCAATTGGGTGGTGTGG